GGTTTATTTACTGCAGGCTGCGATAAGTGTAGGAGTGCAGAACTGGGTCCTCTGCGAACATATCCAAGACAACAGAAGATGCTGACGCCCGGTGACAATGCCGATCAAGAGCAAAGGAGAACAAACCACCAGGTCGCATTTAGCGCCGTAAAGTTAAAATTCGTAATCCAAGGAGCAAGGCTGCAACCAGAGCAACAGGGGTACAGACCTACGTGCGAAGAAGGCATTTCATCAGTTTATGAGGGATTATGTCCTCCGATTTTATTTATTTTTTTGAAGCTCTGCGTTCATAAATTCACGTTTAGTCATGACTATAAAAACCAACCACGGAACCCAGCCTGACAAGGGTGGTCAATAACCATTTGAAACGCTCCAGAAAGGGGCATTAGGATGTTTTCAAATCAATACAGACATTGCCAGAGGCATTCATCATCGAGGCTGGCTATTAAACCTCAAAATGAATTGATGCCTTTTGAAAGCGGCAGTTTTCCAGACCAAGCACGGTGCGAACATGTCAACGTTATTACAAATCTAGTCGGAACCATCTAAAACGGGTGAACATCCCATTTTGCAGACGGAGCCTCGCGTTATATAAGTTGCGATGACTTAATGAACCTTTCGGATGCACACGCGAGGCTCCGGCTGAATATGAACCCAATGAATCACGATGGGTTTCATGGCTGGAGAGGCTTTATACATCATCCCTCCTTCACGGCCTCTGCTTCTGCTCAGGGAAGGAGGGAACAAGGAGAAAATTTACTGGGTGAGCATCAGGAAACCACTCATGCTCTTATGATGGGAACTGGCCATTTCTATGAAAGAGTTTTCCTCTCAGCACCAGGGGACAGCCGCAGCCTGAAAAAGCTGGGACGAGGCTGAACTTTCCGAAACCAGCCGGTACACCAGCGGTAACAGAGCAAAAAAGTGGATTTTCTGGCCGCAAGGACACAACCGGAGACAGAGGCAAACCATACCCCCGCTCTGCCTGAAGCGTCAGTACCAATCCCGCAGCTCAGCTCACGTTCTCCCTTTCATGGGTCTCTAAGGGGTTTCGCCGCCTCTTTTATCTCCCCAGCTCCCTTCCTCCCTTTCATCAGGAGTTTACTGCATCATTACGGGACTTGAACTGCCTGGGCACTGATGAAAGGGATGCTACGTGAGCAGGGTCTGCTCCCTCTGCTCTGCAGCCACTCCAGCAGCCCTGGTACACGATAACGTCCTTTGAAGGGGAAAAATAAAGAAAAAATGGAAAAAAAAAATAATAATCACAGCCTTGAGAAGGAGGTAGAAAATTAGAGCAGAGGCTGAGCGATGCCGCCGAAAGGGGCCCAGCAGGTCTCGGGCAGCGCAACAGGATGGACCCACGCCGGGTCTGGCGTTGGTGGTCCCCCAACTCGCCCACCTCCCCGCTGCAGGGCTTCCCCTGCCGAAACACCGCCGGAGCCTCCGCAGCATCGCAGCTGGTTTGGCGCAGCAGCTCAAATTTAAGGAAAAAGCCATAAATTCTATGCCATGAGGTTTTCCTACGAATACCCCCAAACCTCATGGCTCATTTAAGCAACAAGTTTAATGAAACTTCATTTCTTAAGTACACTTTTTCAAACACCAATTTTCCAATTCCTAAACCCATCCGGATTTCCTTACTGAACATCTACGCAGGAACACCACAGTACCACTTCCTAAATCAGGCCCCACCGAAAGTCAATCGAGACAGCGTAACGAGCCCTGAGGCCCCTTAATAATACCAGTGACTTAACAGCGGTGGCAGCATGACTCCAGAAGTGCAGCGCATCCCCTTGGCACAGGCGTCCGTGCGTCTGGGAGGGACGATGAGCGAGCAGAGACGCTGCCGGTTAGCCAGGTACTTCAGGAGACATTTACTCATGGTGTGGGTTAGCAGCCAGCCCAGAGACCACCACTCTTATCCCCCGCGGGCCGGAGCTGTGCCAGCCATGGAGGATGCTCCCAGCTGAGCACCAAAGGGATATGTGGTATTTTACTCCGGGGATTCTATGGCCACATCGCTGCGAACTCACCCCTCTGCCCCGACGCACCGCGAAAGCACGTCCTTGGACACAAGATCTTCCACCTGCAGTACGGTAGCGGAGATGTTAAAGCGAAGAGCGGAGGCGGCTGCTGGGGAACATCGTTGCCCTCCCACTCCGCTCCGTAATCTGATTTGGAGCGACGTGAATCATTCGGCACCAGGACACGGTAAAGAATCAACATGCCTGGCTGTTAAATATACAGTTTGTGGGAGCATGAGTCACAGCTCAGGTTTCAAGGTGCGATGCTGTATGTAAAGCCTTTCTGAGAACTACCCAAGAACACCGCGCACGTAGCCGTGATTTCAGGGGTCAAACCTGGTCTCCCAGCCCTGCAGCCCGCTGTCACCCTGCCGAAACTATTTCCCCCGGTTTCAACGTCACGGGGCTCATGCGGGCTGAGCCGGGGGGTGTTTGGGGAGTGGGGCAGCCCCCCCGGCAGGGAGGGCACAGCCGCCGGGTCCCTGCACAGCACCCAAAGGGGCTTCACCTGCACCCCGAGGGATGAGCAAACCCTCCTCAGCTTTACCCCACGCCGTTCCAAGGGAGGCAGAGAAATCCGGATTACATCCCTTGCCCGCCCAGATGTATTAAAGACAAGGCTGGGTTCGCTTTCGTGTGTCGTAATTAAAGCCTAGTGATTATCCCACTTGTCAAACGCCGAGTCTAGACACAGCATTTTCCCTGCAATTCATACCAAATCCGCCCATACTCCATTCCATGCGGATACGTGTGCCTTACTTCATGCTTCCACCAGGCAGCCGGCTCTCGGCAGCGCCCGTAAAAATCCCGTTTCGTTCAGCCTCGATGCCCACGACGGCACAGCAGCAGCGGAGAGGAGAGGGGCCGGAGGAGGAGAGGAGAGATGAGGAGGGAGACGGGGGGTCTCCCAGCCCCATCCGGATGGCACCGTGCCCCCTCCCTCCCTACAACCAAGTGATGGGAAAGGAAGGGAGCTGGGGTGATGGGGAAGAACGAAGGTACCCAACCACGCTGCTGACTGGGGCGGGGAAAAGGAGAACGAGACTTTTTTTCTCCCAACAGAGCAGATAAAGGATGGGTGTAACTGCTGCGTTCCCTCCATCTCCCTTCCCACAGGTCTAAACCAAACCTTCGCACTTGCTGAGCGCGGCGACGAGGACCCCAGCGCCCCAGCGGGACCGCACAGCCGCTCCTGCTCCAGCCTCTCACGCAGCCACGTTAAATACGCGTTCACCTCTCTAACCCTCGGGTACGCAGGGCCCCGGAGAGCTGCACGTTTACACGGTCTCCAGCCACCTCCCCACCACCTCCCCTGCTCCCCACCACCGTCCCCAGGCAGCAAAGCCAACTGCAAAACAAGGCAGCCGTGTGCTTTGGGATTTTTGTTGTTGTTGTTGTTGTTTTCACAGCTTTAGCGATTTTAAAACATGTAAATATAAAGGAAGGTCAATGATTCAACAGTGATTAAGTCTGAAATATTCCACTTAGTACCCATTAGACTTTGAAAATACCCGTTATGTTCCCAGAGCGTTCCCCAGAGCGCAGCCAAGCGGTACCCAGAGCTGGGGAAAGCCACTTTCTCGGGAGGCTTGAGGTATCTTGTGAAAATACCAAGTTCATTTCAGGAAGCAAGAGACAATAAAAGAAGTAATGTATTGTAGATTCTTAATACCATTTCCCCAGAGAGAGGAAAAACAACGAAGTCTAATGGAAATTTTCTATTCTCAAAACCGTTTGCACTGTTATTGTTTGCAACTAAGAGATGAAAACACAAACCCCCAGCAGCTTCAGCTTCTGAAAATTGCAGGGCTGCCTAGTTTTTTTTTTTTTCTTGAAGAATAAAATTAAACTGCACCTGGGATGTAAAGTTTCCACCTTACAAAAATATCGAAAACCTTGCAAGAGCCTTACAGCCTGTGGGGCGAGAGCAGACTTCAAGCTTGCACTTGCCCCGGGAGCTGGAAGACACCCAGGACCCAAAGCCCATTGGGTCTAGCACAAAACTTGTAGCACAGACCTCCAAGCTGGTATTTCAAGTCCTGAAAAATCCTGCGGATTTGAAACACTTTATGAAACATGCAATTAAGCAATGCAGTTAAATAACGGAGCCTGATTTAAGAGCTTAGTGCTATTCTTTGCGAAAAGAAGGATCCTTTCTCCATCTCAATCTGCTCCCAGTTGTACTCAAGATATTGTAAACTGCTATTTTGGTTTCTCTCCAACCAAGAAAAAGCAGAGGAGCAAAAAGATTAATTCACTAAATTACGTTTTCTTTGTCTACTGAAACTCTGCTATTAAGCAGAGGAAAAGCAAATGGTGTTGCCTCAGAGGCAGGAGGTATCCCCACGCAGCCGGGTGTGCGGGTGGCCCCCACCCGTCCCATACCCGCACCCGGGACCTGGGGGAGCCTGACGAGGTTCCACCACTTTGACTAAGAGGTTCCTTCTTTAAAAATCTATTTAAGGAGGAAACAGCTGCCAACAAGACATTTTATTCCTTACTTTGGCAGCTACAATTCTATTAACCTCCAAAATAAGGAGTGACAGCGTGACTGCCAGTCCTAGGCTATAATTAGGGAGGGCCACCGCGGGTCAGCGTCGCGGGGCACCTTCAACGTGGCGTAAGTTGGCAAGGGCAGGGCTAGGGCAAGCTGCGCCCACGCTGAAAAGAAACTTTATCTCAAGCTAAGCTGATGATTTCATTTCCCCCGTGAATGAGATATCTAATTATCAATAATTCATAGGCACAGACAGACGTGCAAGTGGTTTTGAGAACTGAAGTAGACACAGAAGTAACAATTCTTGGAAGAAGAGCCAGCGGAGAGACAGATCCAGAGAGGGAAGAGAAGGTGCACTTTGCATGCACATGTCAAAACCAATCTAATTTCAATCACATACGTGACAGTCTAGGTGCCAGTTTAAGCGGGGCATTTTCCCCGTACACTCTGCGGTTGGTATATGACAGGATGCTTGCCTGCATGGAGCCCAGCTCTACCTATCCGGATGGACAGCTCGCTCTCGTAGTCCAGGTGATGGGCAGGTTCACGCTCATATTTTTCTTTCACCGCTCGTTGGTCGCAGCTCAAGGCAAACGCTGCGTGGGGCGGTCCGCTGAAACCCTGCAAGGCAAGGGAGACATTTTAAGGCTTTTCCCACATTTCCCCATCAGCCTTCTCCCAGCCCCGTCCTTGGGGACCGCTCCGGCATCTGTGTGGTTGGGAAGTCCATAGGGGCATGGGGCACGCAGCTTCTCACAGCTGCATGGAAACACATCTTTCGGGTTCCCCTCCTCTCTCTACAGACCATCCAGCCGGTTAGATCTCAACGTGCATTTCCCGCAGAAACATCAAGAACGGGGGTTAGGAGGAGCTGTGGGCCAAGGAGCACGGGGCTAAAGAGGGAAAGCCAAAATTCATGTGCGTTAACAGCAAGAAACGCAGTTCCACAAACACAGAGAAACGCAGTTCCATAAACGCAACTCCCTCCAAAATCAACCCGGAGGAGACCGGCAGACAAGGAGGGACATTCACTGCTCTCAACGCTGCCGAGCGACTCGCAGAGAGTCGAGCTGCTGCGTTGACCTCTGCAGAAGTCTACTTTGCTGCAGGGCACCGTTTCTTCAACGGGGCTCGAGTCTGCGAGGGGAATAGTTCGTTCAAAATTGAACCCATTTGAGCAGCAGATGAAACACCGCGTTCACAACCACCCAGTGTTATCTCAGTGGGACTCGTCCAGATGGCCCGATGGAACTTCAGACTCACTTGGAACATGTTCCTGCACCATTTGTAACCTCCAGAAAGCAGAGAGGGACAGCCAAAACCAATACCGTCCCACTATGTGCCAAGCCTGCAGGGAATCGGAGCAGACGTCCTGTGGCAAGAGGGACGGCGCTGCTCCCATCACAGCTCGCGAAACCCAGCCACCACCGAGGATGTGCCAGAGTCTTTATCGACATTGGCCAAAAAAACCTGGCAGACACCGTTTGTGCCTTTCCCCCACGGTGCTGGGCAGGCGGCAGGACTGTCTGCATCTCTGGATGTCCGCAGGCTGCTCAAACCCACCCAGAGACAGCTACAAACCCCGTAGGGAACGCGGGGTTAGAGGTGTCACTGCACAGCTGAGAGAAGGGACTGCGTCCCACGGCGGCGGCTGCGTGACCTGGTGTAAGCAGCTCCACCCAAAACACGGGGAGCGGGACCCCGAGTGCCCGTCTCCTCGCAGGGTTGGGAACCAGTCCCCGGGAGCATCCGCAGGGAGGGATGTCCAGGCTGCACCCGGCGCCGCCGGCCGGGAACGCGGGTGTAGCTGTTGGATTGATGGCAGCAGAATAAACGAACATACGCTGAACGGCCGGGGCCGGTAATGAGAGACTTGATGGGTAAGGTCACGTTAAACAAAAATAAAGGTTAAAGATGAATATCTAGATCATCTATTCTCCCATCATTTGCATAATACAGTCTGACCAGTGCTATTAATACTAATCACATATCTGCTACCTGCTCTCTATTGCAGTTTAATCAGGGTGCCTTCACCTCCGCTCACCCAGCAATTACAAGATGCACCGACGAGGCGCTCGCGGTTAAGCGCCCCTGGGAGAAGGGAGACCCACACCACCCCACGGGAGACCCCACCACCTCCGCACCTCATCTCACGACCAGTAGCTGGAAGCGCAGGTAGAAATATAAGCGTTTTCCAGCAAAACCTGGACGGCAGAGGAAAGAGGGGAACTTCAGCATCACGACCTGACTCAGATAAGGCAGGAAGAGACCGAGGATGGAAACTCCGTGGCTCACCCTGCTGCCGGCACCTCTGCAGCGTGGTCTCCCTCCATCCAGGAGAGTCCGGTCCCGCTGAAGCTAAAGGGGTTTTCATCTCTGGAAAGGCAGTAGCATCGCTTTCTGGAAAACGCCAGCCCGAGGAGAGGCAAGGATGGGAATTTGAAGCTGCAGAAGTAAAGCCTCAACTTTACGCGCCCGGGAAGGGTGTGCAAGCGTTGCACGGGGCTCTCCCGCCCTGCCCCACTGCTCTCGCCTCCGACTTTGGGAACGCCAGGTTTTACAGAGCAGAAGGCTCTCCTTCCACATGGCTCTTACCAGCATTTGGTTAAATGAGCTACAAACACTGCACCAGCAGCTTTGGAGGCTTTATCACCACCAGATTTGTGGCTTCCCCCCAGCCCAAAGACAGCCGCCTCTCAACTGCAGCATCTCGGCTGGGGCAGGGAAGCGAGCCCGGGGCACGGCCGGAGCCCGCAGGACTCTGCAAGTCACGATGACCCAACCAAGGGGAAAAGAAATCACTCGCAGGAGCACAAGCAGGCGGGTGACATTCAGCGTGTGCCCTCTATTACCATTGCCCAGCTACGGATGCAAACAAGCAAGGTCCTTGCGAGGACGAGACCACTCGTCTCAAGGTCTGTGGTCCCAGCGAGAAGCCTCCCACGGCTATTTTCTGTGCTGTCATCCTCAGCACGTCAAACTCCTACCGACACGGGACCCACAAATCTGCTTGCACCGCAACGGAGGCAAACTTGAAGATACTTCAGATGCTTATTGTACGGTCAGGTCATGTCCCTGTTGGCAGGCACAAACACGCACTGCCGGCAATTCGAAAAAAATATTAGTGACCTTCAGTAAAGCACACGATTTATTCCAACTGTGATTGCTCTGAGTCATTTCAGTCCGGTCCCTGCATGAGTCCCGTAATTGGAATGTGTCAGTGGGTTAAAAAAGCATTAGAAAGAGAAGAGGAAAGTCAACCCACATTAATTAGTTCATGCCACTAATTAGCGTTAACTGAAATAACCACGGGGGCTGATTATTTCAAAAAGCCTGATGCAATGAGAGATTTGGACAGGAAGACCCGTGGAGCTTGGAGGGAAACTATTCTGGGATGCGGGAGTCCCCACCGCGCTCAGCTCCGCTCGCAGAGCTACAGCGGAGAGGTCATTACGTTGCCGCGGCCCCGCGAGTAAACGCGGACGAGAAAAAATAAGTCTCTCTGCAGATAGCAGAGAAGAACCCCACACTCCACGCAGCACCCGCCTAAACGGGCAGATCCTGCTTTTGTTACCCCAAAACTGCAGCAATCCTGGATAAATCCGCATGGAAAGGTGTCCCTCTCCTGCCGGCATCCCGGGATGGATGGGATCGCCCCGGTACTGCAGGGCAATGGGGTGAGACGGGGAGGAGGCAGTTGCTGGTTTTTAAACGAAGCGAGGATTTGGGATTGCATCCCGCTGCCCAGCCGACCTCCGGCACATGTCGCCGACTGAACCAAATCCAATTTTAAAGAGAAATGGAGAGCGAGTGACACCTTTAAGAAATAATCTGCTCTTCCCCACCTGACCGGCGAAGGAGAATAAATTAATAAAGAAAACGTACTGACAAAACCTGATAGTCTGGCTTTGGGTAGACCACTAGTATGGAATCTGGAGGTGCTGCCTGTCAGTGGGGCTCGGGGACGGTCGGTGACACTGCTCTTCCCGTGGAACATCTCCCTGGCTTTAACCCAGCGCCCGCCCGGGCAGCGCTGGAGCGGGATCCGCAAAGCCACAGGAGACAAACACCGTAACGCATCAAATAATGGCAGAAAGCACTTCAACAGGAAAGAGAACCTGAATAAATTTTACTATCTTATTAAGAAAAAAATTAAAAATATTCCTAACTTGTCCAGGAGCTAACAACAGGGACAAGAAGAGACAGTAACAAGCCGTGCTTTGATGGCACCCAGAGGCTCCCGTTTCGCACTTATTAAAAGAGAGAAAGTGATAACAGATCCAGAAAGCGATAAGAGAAAGAAAAGAGGGATGGGGAGCAAGGAGAGGAAGGGGAGGTGCTGCCCGTCCCCAGCCCATCTCAGCGGCTGCCGGGACGGACACAGCGCATCTCTGTGTGTCCCCCACGCCCCCGGCGAGCTCGTGGCGAGCTCAGCACATCAGCTGCTCGCTCGGCTTCGCTCCTTCTGCAGGGCTGCACAGAGCCCGACACCTCTGGGGACGGAGACAAAGGCTGTGCAGCAACAAAGCAGCGAGTCCCCGATTTTTCCGAGGCGGATAAACGGATTTATGTTAAAAACATGAAATAAGACCGGGTAGGAAGAGAGCTCCCTTAGAAAGCACTTAGTTATCAGAGAGCGCCCATTTGCATGTAAAACATCGGGCTGGTATGTTGTTATTTGAAACAACATACGAAGGGCTCGACGCTCCCACGTGAACCCCGCCGGCTGCGAATCCCCGCGCCGGCAGCGCTCAGTCGTAACCCAGCGGGAACCGGCGAAGGTGCGAGCGATGGCGAGCCGCCCCGCGCTCCCCCACCCTCCCCGGGCACCCTTCGGTCTCACCTCGCCGGTCCCCCGGCGGCCGCGGGGCTCCCA